ATCCAACATTCTGCAGCAGAGGAGGTCTTGACTGCTTCTCACAGTACAGTGTTCCAGTATTTAAGAAGCAAACCAGAGAGGGACGGTATTAAAAACATCTCTTATTTACATAACCCATGACGATGTGGTTCTACTCTAGTTGCAGCTATGATGTTCAGTACTAACCAGAGTGTGGTACTCTCAGAATCCACTCCAGTCCTCCACTTGGCTCTCATGTTCAACAAGGAGGACTACCCTGCTAGTCGTAAAACCGTGGAGTATCTAGAGATCGTCAGAGCAACCTTTCTTCTTCTTTGTCCTGATCCTGACAAGTTGTACTTCATTAAGCCTTGGGGTCTTCAGACCCTGTCCCTGCTCCCTCTCCTACACCAAGCCTTGCCTGGAATCAAGGAAATGTTCATGTTTTGTTCTGTTCAACCGACCGTGCTATCGTTTAAAAAGCTTGTAGGCTCAGAAAAATATTTTGAAGTTGCAGGGAATTGGGCTATTAATCCAAGTTTCCTGTAAACTACCGAAGTATTTGGGAGAAGGTAAAACGTGATTAAGGTGATGAAGTGTGGTGTTTCCTAGTGCTGAGTCAGATCCACGCTTATATGTTTGAAACTCAAGACAGGACAGATATCAGGTCATACAGTTAAATTACGAGTCTCTGTTGAAGAACAAGGAGGCATTTGCTCGGAGTTTATTGAAGGTGGGATTTGGGGAGGATTACCTTGGAGAGGCTTTGTCTGCCCTAGATAGACTCTCGGGCTTACTCTGTGAGTCATAACCGGGAGAGATTGGCTGGGGTAAACATGAATGTAGAATGTAGATGCTGATGCGGTTACACAGTGGTCCGCGAAGGGGGGTCAGGCTATAATAGACCCCTTCTAGGTCATTTTGTTGTCTCAGGAGATGTTTTCTGGAGTATTTTCGCCCAAAAAGACGTTTTAAAGCATTTACAAGACCTCAAAATATACCAGAAGGGCTGAAAATGAGAAATCAAAAAATTGATTTTTTCCAAAAATACCCTGAAAATTTTAGAATTTGGCCGCTAAATTTGTTTAAAAGGCCTGACTCAAAATTCTACTCCACAACTTAAGGTCCTTAGGCAATTCTACGTTGATTCTGAAAATTTCATAAAAAAATATTGAAACCCTATTGAGTTACATTATTTTGAGCGAAATCAGTTTCGCGAATGTCGCGAACTGAGTTATGGGCAATTTTGTTCATTTTTTGCCATTATTTGAACACAGAATCCACAGTTAGGTAGATATTGAGCTGATATTCATAGAGAATGTGAAGTATAAACTTACCTAACATATAAAATTTGTCTCATCCAAAAATATTGATAATTGGCCAATTTATGGGCTAAAATCTATAAAAATCTATCAAAATTGGCGCGTATGCCCAAATATGGTCATATAGTATTTTGCTCATAACTCAACCAATTTTTTTCAAATTTTGATAAAACTTTATATTTGTGTTCAGGAGACTAGAAGCTACAAGTAAAGCACCCCAAAGCATGGCTTTGGGCTTGTTAAGGTGATTTTGCATAAATGGGATAATTGGGACCAAATATGGGCGTGGCTGATTTAAAAAAAAGTCCCAGCTTGTCCCAGGTTGAATTTTTTATGGCTAGTTAGATAATTATCTGAACTTTAGGATGCCATAGGTGGTTTAGGTGCACTCGAGCGCACTACCTAACATTTTTTAATTTTAAAACCAAAATGTTAGTTTAAAAGTGGGTCTAAAATTTGAGGGTAAATGAAAAATCAACCAAAATAGATATCAACATGAATTTTTTTTCATTAGACAGGTATTCAACACGTACAACAGCAACAACAAGAGTAAGTAAATGCATATATAGACTGCTTTATGAATATCCAGTCAGATGTAGGCCAATTTTTACTGCTAATTGCTTGAATTTCGGACTGTGTAAAAAAATCGTTGATATTATCGTACATCATTTCCACATTTTGAAAGATTTTTAATTATCGTCTTCAGCATATGTACCGGCTGATAATTTATGATAAATAACAAATAAATAAACAGAATTTCATGACACTCGATTTTGGTTCAATTATAGCCTGGTGGACCACTGTGGGTTAAGTGGGCTGAGGAACTAGCAAAGAATGAGTTTGGGATTGAGTTGGTGGGCGAGGATGGTCAGATTTTGAACATCACTCATCATTGCCTTTACAATAAAGTCTGGGTGTTTGTTTGAAGTGTGTGATGTTTGAGGGATCTTTTTAAAAAAAATTGTTTTCTTGTTCCTTGAATTTATACTGTACTGCGTAAAACGCTTGCTAGTTTGTAGTTGAACTCGTTCACAAATATTATCCGATAACTACCGTTAACTGCGATAAGAGGGCTTTTTTTAATTTGATATTCTGCAGTACGTATAACTATAACATAACATAACATAACATTATAAATAATGCCTCTCTGGGCATACCAAAAAGGAATTCCTTGAAAATGAACACTTTACGTTTGAAACCATATAATTACAAACTTTTAAAAAATTCAACTAAATACCTTTGATATTAACCTTCTTCCTCTTAGCTACCAATGGATTCTCTTTCATATAACTTACATAACTATTCCTATTAGACACAGACACATCTATCCTATCAAAGATGTCATATATATGACAGTTCCCAGTAGTGGCCAAGCTTATTTGCCTGATATCCATGAAGCCGAAAGGCATCTAATCCCCTTTTGAAACCAGTAACCGACTCACTAGCTTTCACAAGTGGTGGTAGACTTTCTTGCTCTATCCAGAGCCCTTGCGCTTGCAGTAGCGCGCGCCCGCCTCACGGCGGTAAAACAAGCGCGCCCGAAGTGGCGCGAAAGCACATGGTTAGGTGAAGACTGTTCCAATAGCGCAAGACCCTTTGGGCAAAGAAATCAGTCTCATTTGTGGTGAATCTATGCGTCTTTGATCTAGCAGCAACGGTCCTACCAGAACGACCAAATAAATCGGAACCATAACCCACAAAGCCTTCCTGGATCTTGAACATCTCAATGAGATCTCCACGAACCCTGCGTTCAAGCAGGGTTGTTATGTGAGGTTCAGCTTATCCAGTCTCTCTCTGTAAGTCATGAGTCCCAATCCATCAATCATACGGGTGAACGAAGTAATACACCACGCAAAATGTATTTGTAAGTTCGTTAATATGCTATATATGATATAACTTTTTAGGAAAAATAAATTGTTGATCACCGACAGTAAATATTTTCAATATAATACCCATATCAGGTGCATCATTCTATCCAAGTGCATTAATTTAATTGTCACTTTTTTATTTTCTTGTCCATTGTTAATCGACTGAACCGACGTGCGCTATATAAAAATAAATTCACCTGTACCGTTTGGAGGACTTCGCCGCTTCGACGCGCCGCGCAAACTAGCATTCTTGCTTCGCATCGAGATCGTTGTTCTGCAAAGCAACGATCTGGAAGGGTTGACATCGTCAATCAACTGTACCGTTTATACGATACAGGGGGCCGCACCCTGTATCGTATAAACGGTACAGGTGAAACAACAATTGGGGTCACAATGTCATTCAAAACAATATAAGAACAAAAATGTTTTGTTTTTGCTTTAACCATTTTTTCCCGATCCATGACTCAAAATGCCGAATGCACATAAGAGTCAAGGACAAGGGTTAGCGAACGAGGTTTTTAAAAGTATATGGTAGCTTTGCGACCATGCGTGCTTGCAAGCGTACAACCGTGCCCGCGCTTGTATCACGTTGCGACCCCCACGGTCGTTTCACTATGGTAAAACTTTATCGTCCTGACGATACGGGGGAGCCGCGCACTTCGTGCGCGGCGGGTCATACGTATGACAAGCCCGCGCGCCAACATGTCGCACACGTTTTTAACTATTATATAGTAGTATAGCCTGCGCAAAGTCATTTTGCGAGATATTCTGAATTAAATAAGTAATTGTTGTCGCGCGGCACTGAACTGACCAAGTAAATTGTTAATTTCACGATGATATGTACGTATCCCACCAAGCACTAATTGATAGCATATTGTTGTCAGTATTACTATTTTGCACAGATCCGTGTCAGGTTGCATAAACAATAAAGTTTAATAATTAACATACGGCTACACGATTTTCAAATTTTCAATATGGAATTAACTGGGCGGCGCTCGGCCTGTCACTGCACTATATCTGCATACTTATAAACAGCAAACATTGGGGACCCAGGTTATATTGTTGAATAAAATAAAATACGCCATCACAGATCGGGAAGTTGAGCGGCCATCCACAAAAGAAAAGCGACCGCATTTTTTGTTTTACTTAAGGACCCCAGGCTATAATGTTCATAAACATAAATTGTAAATATAACACGAATAGAAATTAAGCGGAATGACAGGCTGAGCCTTGAGCCCAGTAACCATTTTTAAAAGTTTGAATGCTTACATAATGATATTTTAAAAAAGTAATTCCAATGAAATACAAAATTTTATTTTTCAAAAATAATATCTATCGTTCAGCTTTAATTGTGATGTAAAATGCGCGGCTTAGGTCGACAGTTGACCAGGAAATTCAATGTCTCTTATAACTATTACCACAGGAGCTTATAAATTGCAATATATTGTATGATTGTTAATCAGTGAGTTTTTTAAGTAATTGGAAAATAAAAAACATAAATGAACGTGCAGCCTAATGCACAGCTTTATGGAGAGCTATACAGGCGCCGCGCATCGACGTCGTGAATTCATGGCGGCGGTAGAATACAAATAACTTTGCAAAGATCACGCTTAGTGGCGCTGATACTGAGCTTGACAAGGCCAGCCTGGTTATTTAGATAGGGTTGACAGTAGTGGGATGAACTATCTCAATTGTAACAGAGCAAGACTAGCCATAACAAATACCAGTGACGAGTGCAACATATCTGCTGTCGTAAACTCCTCATCCAAGAGAAATTACAATGCCGGGTTTCTTTTCTTCATCGCTTTGTAGACTGCAGAGTGTAGAGATGGTAGAGACGAAGTTAAACACATTATCTTAAATAAAACTAAAAATATTAAAAGTACAGCATTGCATCGTTTGATTGTTTGGAAATATAAAACTCAGCGAACTGTTATCGCAGTCCGTTGAAGATGTTCCAATGGGAACTAGTGTTGATTGGGCTAACAATTGCGCAACCCCGGACACTAACTATTCTGAGGGGTAACCGTCCCTAAACACAGAACACTGTTTCCGTGTGCAGTGAGTAGAAATAACTAAAGTACAAAACAGATAAAATTGTTTAACCCATCTAGCGAAGTTCGATAATTTTGCTTATGTTAGGTTTAATACACGAGAAATATTGATAAATAGTCGTACAAATGTCGTTACAATCTGTTTTCTGTCATGCAGGGGGTGAGTTGGGGGGTAGTCATGACAACCCCCCGTGAGTTCTAACAAGATCACACATTACTGATCTACCTAACAACTTGATCGTCTCAGTCAAATATAATGAAGGGGCTTTATTGTTTCTCGAGTTAATAGATCTATGATCAACATTCAGTCTTTTGGTGTATCAGAAGATAAGAATCATTTCTGAATCTTTCAGTCCAGCCCGCGTTCCACGCGGCCAAATATCGTATTGGGAGCCCAGAAGGGAAGCGCGGAGCTATCTAGACTGATCTCCTCGTGTACCTCTCCGATTCCAGGCAACTGCCTCTTGAAAAAATATCTGAAAAAAGACCAGATTAAGAATACAATATTATTAACATGATTGAAAATATGTGTGTAATTGAATAGCTAGGGCTCGCTCTTTTTAAAGGCTGACCGTGCATGACGAAAGATTGCACGGTTTCGTCGTGAGTTGTAAAATAGTTCTTGTGGTCATATGTTGCAATATTCAACAGATTGCACTGTCTTCTTCACTAACAATTACGACATCTGGTCCAAACCGAGACCAAGATTACTCCAACGATTCACAGTGAACAATGTGATTTTCCTTACTAAAATCCATCGACATTTTTGTATTAACTTCACTTCCTTAAACATTCCCCAAGATCTGATCATTGATCGTGAACTTACCTAGAATTTGGAACAGGATTGTTCCAAGCCACAACTTCCTTGAATTGTTGCAAGGTCACGTTCGGTCCCGGCAACACTTTCACGTAACATATAGAGTCTGTACTGTAGGTATATGCTATCTGAACGTCGGGGGCTCTGAAATAAAGAGTTCGTCAGAATGAGTTGAAACTTCTCAGTTTACAGAATACAGAACATATATGAAAATATCGCTTACAACATGAACATTTCAAAGTATTTTAATTTCCAGAGAATCACAGTGAGCCAGAACGGAGCTACAAGTGGGAGGGGGAGGGGGGTGTACTCCCCCTACATGTAAATACGAGTAGATCGTGTGATTGCTGGAGATGATTAAAAAGAGTTTGACCTAATGAGCAGGTTTATGAAAATATCGGGTCTCTTTTGTAACGGCTGCAACGTTTGATCTGCTGGCGGAGCCTAAAGAGCAATTTAGCAAAATATTCTCCATCAAAGCTTGCGGAGTAGATCCGGACAGGCAGGAGCGATTAGCTACAAAGGTTGGCCGCTTTGAAGTAAACTTTCTGTAATTAAATACTACTAAGTGGCTCGACAGCGTGCCTCGGATAAAACTATCCGGCAAAATCATAAATAATCTCGCTACATAATCCTCACTAATGCCCGTACATAAAGGATATAATTTATATAATAAGGATCATGCCCTAAAGGAGTGCATCTTAAATTTGTTCTAATCAGTTCATTTCTTTGACATGACTAAGCCGGGGAAGGTTTCCTTTTGATGTGCGGGATACACAGGAGAGCGGCCAGGTCGGCCAGGTCGGATAGTCTCTCAGTGGGGAGGCAGCAGAATCCAACAGACAGGAACACGACTGATTGCAAGCTGTCCCACTGTCTCCAATGGCAATATGTTAGCTTCAGAAGATATTCAGCAGACAATTTATCGCTCAAGCAGACGGGGGTATCAGTGTTGTACTGTGTTTTAGGACACCGTATTTGGGTTTAGACTGTGAACCTTACAGTTTTATCTCCTTCATCTTATCTCCTCTCGTTCCAAGCAGGACCCGATCCTCAATTCTCCAGCCCCCGACACCAAGTAGTGTTAATTAACAGTTACAAAACAGGGAGGATGACCGGGTAAACAGTGTTGACACACCGAGCAGGGAGGGAGGGTGAGGGCGGCCCAGCTGGTAAAGGGATACAGTTCAAACAGACCGGCCTCATTAATTACAACCGACCGGGTCATGTGACAGTGAACAGTGTGTCACGTGACGGTGAACAGTGTATGTGCCATGTTATCTGTCATACCAGAGGTCGCCGCTATGAACTCAAACTAGCAGTTCCGGACCAGATCACTGAGATTACGTAGAAAGAGGGGAGAGGTGGGAGTTAACCCTGGTGGAGCTTGGTCAACACACGGGTCACACTATTTCTGTACACTTTATTTAAGATAGCCCAGAAAATCAGGACGACAGTGAAAGGAGCCGAGGTTAACCTATCACAGACCGTTAGCAGGCAGGGAGGGGCGGGCGGCTGCTGTGAGGTTTAAACTGTTCTGAGGAGCCGTGCAGCACGAGGTTACCACCACCTCAGAAATAACACCTGACTAAATTTAAAACTCAGCAGCTTTCAAAGGAGCCCTTGTACACTACAACAACAAAGAACAGGGTGAGTTAGGTCTCGCGTCCGGAGGGAGTATACCCGGCACTTAAGTAGACCGTACCTGGTATCTTCACCCGACTTCACGCTCACTTCACCCTACTTCAGACACAATTCACTCATTACATATTCTCGTGTATACGATATTCAGGGTTTGATACATCACTAAGATTTTTGACAGTTCCACTAAGCTCAAACTTCAAAGAGGGCAGGTCTCTTTGACCTCTGGTAAAAGCTAATGGATTGTAAGCAAGGATTGTTGGAAGCTTGATGGAAGTTTGCCCACGTGCCATGAACTCCAGCCCACGTGCCCTGCCTGATAAGATCACGTGGTCTCCCCTCGCAGCCCTACTGTCTACACATCGGCAAGTTCTCTGTTAAGATAAATATGTGACTGTGTACAGTACGCCGCTCCTCCGATATCTGTGTACACTTGTTTGAGCACCACACTAGGCACAGCGATTACATGTTCTTCAGAGACATCACACAACACGTGTCCCCTGAACTTCGGGAAAAGATCAAACGCACGATAATGCGATCCAATTACCTGTGTGTGTGTGTGTGTGTGTGTGTGTGCTCCACCTCTTAGGTAACCACGAGTCACTTGTTTTCTAACTCGAAGACAGAAATAGAGCTGGTCTGGGGAGATGAAACGCAGGATATAATTACAGAGCGTTCACCTCACAAGGGTGATATCTTGATCACATCACAGCTCTCTGATGACGTCATAGCTCGAGCTGATGTAATGAGACAGGTGACGCTGTTTAGTGCCATTTAATAAACAGGCACAATACATCCTGTGTGTGTGTTGTGTAAGAGTTGGCCTCTCTTAAACAACGGAGAGACCGACAAAAACACCGCACAGAGCCAGAAGAGCTCATAATATCCGCACGTGTTACTACTATCACGTGACATTGTGATCACGTGGGCACTCTTAGGTAACCATAGTGATCACGTGACCCTGTAGTGCATCTGGGAAGACTAACAAATCATGGTAAGCTGGGTTAGAGGCTGGGGGATCTCTGAATGTCGAGACTGATTAACGAGCGTGATCAGAAGGGTGACCAGTACTAAGTGTCCCTCGTTTTCATCAGACAGCTCCATCCACCAAATTAAATGCTTCTTTTTCGAGCTCACTAAATGTGGGGTTGGTTTTCAAGTCCCAAGCTTCGTGGAGTGTAGACTTGGATGGTTGAGGGAGCTTTTACAATTACGGAGATTTGGAAGGTGATTACGGTGATTTTAAGGGTCTGACTGAAATTGTTCTGTAGAAAAGCGCGGTCTTGATAAATATTACAATACTGTAAACATTCTATCCCATCCAACCTTCTAGAGAAGCCCTCATATTGATGACATAATTACAAATACAAAGTTGTTTATGTTGCAGCTAAACTGTACGATATCTATCAGTTAACGGATAACCTGGCTCACTGCGAAACTCAATTAACGTCTACAGGAACGAGAAGAGGAGAGAGAGGAGATATACGTTTAATAACATAATAATGAGAGGCTAGCTCTTTAACTCACCGGTTAGGATCGCTTGAACGCGCTTGACCACTCCCTGTACTTTGCTGCGTCGTCTGAAAGAGAAGCTGATCAGTTTACTCCTTCATAATATTCTTTACTAGGTCGTCACAACACGAGGGAAGCTTATCAGGGGGAATAGAAGATAACAAAGTTACCAATATGATATGAGGTGTGTAATGAGGGGGGAGATAAATATCTCATTCTGTGCTGAGGTTCAGGTAATGGTATTAGTGGAAATGTAGTGACCAGAGCACAGATTTGTAACTCGATTGTATCTCCTATCCGTGAACCAGGATGAAACAGGGGATAGAGAGAGGGTGAGAGAGAGAGAGAGAGGGGGGATCTCTGTTAAATAGTTCATTATGGATATGGGCACGTAGGATATCAGATACTGTAATCACTAATCACTATTCGAGGCGAGTGCTAGGTTCAAATATACTGCAAGTAATTACCAATAATCAGTATTCGAGGCGAGTGCTAGGTTCAAATAGTGCTAGGTGCAAGTAATTACCAATAATCCGATATCTCCTTTTTACAAAGTGAAATCCTCCCGCGTTTGATATGGTAAAAACCCGATATGGTAAAAACCCGATATATAAACCAGCAAAAGTGTTATTTTACAAGGGCAGTTACCTGCTCTGTCCAAGCGGGCCGGGCAGGTTGTTCAGAGGGTTGTTGTTCTGGTTGCCTGATTACAGGTTCCTCCTCGTCACAGACCATGGCCTCCACAGACTGAGTACTGGCGCTCCGTTCTCTCACACACTGCTGCTTATCAGAGGGGCGGGCTGGTTGGGAGGAGGGGTAGAGAGAGGAGGGAGGTTGTTGGGGTTGAGTGAAGGGCTGTAAAGTACTGGTGACCATCTGTTGAGGGAGAGAGTGGTGGGTCATGTGGTTCAGGCTCCCCATGTCAACGGGGCCCTCCTCTTCTCCCTCTCGTTCCTTCTTCCGCATCAGAACTACAACAGGCGTGTCTCCACCCTAGCGAGATATAGTGTTAATTGAGGAGTAATACAGCTTTCCGAACTTCATAATAAGTCACGTTGAAACTAGAGTGAGCTAATTCAGAACATTTAAAAACATCAAAGTTTGACTTACATGAGGTCCTTGATCGAGACTGCCGAAGTTCTGTACTCTCATGCTCTGCTCCAAAGATATGATCTCCAACCTAGGCAGGAGCTCCTCCATCAGCTTCGCGGGGTTAACCACACCTTTCTGAAAAGAGTAGCTCGTTAACATGTGACATAACAGGTGGTTAACACGTGACTAAGTTACATGGTATCTCTTTACCCTCTACATTTTTCATACTCAGTCAAGTGTTGAAATCGTGACGACGAGATATGTGGACTCTATTTTTGAGTATCAAGAAGTGTTTCAAGACTGTTAATAAAACTTTTAAAAGGGGCGTTGGAGCAAGGTGTAGACTGCAGAGGTTGAGTGGTGACACTAAAAATAGTGTCCCGGATTATACTCAGCCAAGGTTACATTATTATTCAGCTACGGTAGTAAAAGTTGCTAATTTCCCGATTTAACGCCTCCCCAAGCTCTCTAGTTATATTTCTGAATCTAATTAACATTTGGACCAATCAGGTGTGAGAGAAGGGCCCACGTGACACACACCTACCAATCACAAGCCTGATATCCAGGCTGGAGGAATGGAAACAAGATTTACAGAGTTAGTGCTCGGAATACTATCAAAGGTGAAATACCCCTACCGCTCTCGACCGTATCACAAATATTTCTGTTACACAAGTTGCTGTGTTGATACTACGCATCATGTCACCTCACAGTCATGGTGATACCGGAGAGCAGTGAACCGTTAGATAATAAGACACCCAGTGTCGCTTGGTAACGGTCACTAGGTAACCGTCACCAGGTACCCAGCTACTCTGGTCAGTGGTCACGCTCCAACTGACACGGAATTGCATGCAGAGTAGCGCTTCCTAAATGTACTCAGACGTCTGGAACATTCTTGTTTTGGGATTGCATGCGGAGTAGCGGCAGACTGTAGTTATCAGGCCTTGTGCCTGCTCTGCGGAGCGTATCTAGCTTCACATGGGTACGTACTTGGGTTCGTCTAAACAGCATATTTTCTGCATGAATAAACACAAAGAGTTTACTCACACAGACACCAGTGTGTTCAGGGTGTGCACGTGCGCGCGGCTTAACCCTGTGTAGCTAATAAGATTATACCTTATAACGGTTTCTACTTAGGAAACACAGCATTTAGAGTGAGGAGTCATGTAGAGAGAATTGTCAGGGCGTGATTTGATTATAGGTACTATATAAACTGCCTGCCTCCCTGCTGGGCCAGGAAATTGGTTTTACTGCCTGTTCCTCGGAATTGTAGTAATGGTACACACACCTTAAATGGGCATCACGTGGATAACACACCTGTGCAGTCTGACTGGGTCAGTGGGTCCACATCTTAATACTCAGTCCCATTCAAATGTCTTTATATTCAGTCACTTTATTTTATTTATGGAGAATAATTTCCGGACATGCAGCTTAGACCAGAATATCTAAGGAGCTAAGGATGAAAAAGAGATTACATTATAAATATGAATAACTAAAATATCCCCCTGCCCTGAAAAGCAGGCCACAAGATTAGATAAGATAGGACAATGCCCTCTATAGTGCGTACTGTGGGTGGTATGTGTACTATCAGTGTAAGACAGTCTAGACCCGCTACAGGGTTAACCCACACATATGGTATCTCCACCGCACTTCACCTCGTATCAGCCAGCATATCAAAACGTGATCTCACACAAAGTCACTCATTATTACGCGACAGAATCCTACCAGGGCAGTGTTTTGATGCCCGGAGATACAGGTGACGAGTTCCTAAACACTAGCAGAGGTGACGAGATATTATCCGAAAGTAAGGCAGGACAGAGACGGTACATTGTGAATGTATCCACGCAGTTCTGGAGTCTACAGTAATAAGTTAAGAGCTCAGTGAACTAGGTCCTCTATATTATAGAGGACCTTGTTAACCCACTACAAAGTCCTCTATATTTCAAACCGTGTCCAGGAAACTGGTCCGACACTGGCGGTTTTCCAAAGAGCTAAACACGGCGGCAGCACTTAAATATCAATAATACGGTAGATTAGTGAGCCCTCTGTCTATTTCTGTGCAGTTAATGGCAAATTCAATTGTCTGGCCCATCAAAAGGGCGTAATTTAGGAGGCATGTGAGGCCAGGGTAGCGGCTAGGAAACACTGACTATGACAGATAGAGAGAGAGAGGGTGAACAGTGTTCTAGTTAACAGTGTGCTCTAACAGAGCCCTCTCTTAGACTCACTTACTGATGTGCTAAAAGCAGGGCTCAACAAAGGAACTCTTATAAAATCCAGCTCAATGATTGCTCCTCCAGAGTAGGCGAGATTGCTATTACAGATTCAGAGGTCAGTTTTGTCCGTCAGGAGATCATAAAAACAGGATTTTCATGAATTTAGCTGCAGTTTTCCAAACCTAGTTGAAGATTTACGGCACTGAGCAGTAGAAGTAAAGACTGGCCTCAGTGCTAACCTAGTATATAATGTCAGAGCCAGGATATTGTAGGAGGTCCTAGCTGTACGTGCCCGGATATGTTCCTTGTTGAGGTGTACGTGTCCGACTAGTCCCACTAACAGGACCCTTAACAGGGGCCAGTCAGTAGGACTATTAACAGTTAGGACAGTACTTGTCGCAGTTACCGCCTCCCTCCCTTAGTGTCCCGACCCGACTAGTCGCCCTGTGTGCCGACTACAGCACTGGTCGGAGCCCCAGTAACCGGCCCCCATTGTACCATCATTACCCACACTCAGACCCGGAATCAGTGAAGCTGATCCTGCGACAGGGGATTCAATTAGCAAACACGAGACCCGCTCACGTGCTACAAACTAGTGAGCTTACCCTGTCATTAGCTGTGGATAACACCGTTATTAGCAGTGCCCTATTTTAAGGGCAAAGTTACCAGCCCTGCAGAGAAGTGTTCTGCCGCCCTCGTGCCCTAACCCGAGCAGTATTGTTTTGTGGTAGTTCCCAGCCTAAATATATCCGGGCTCAGACTGCCACTGATTTCACAAAGGATATATTAACACGGGGGTGTCTTTAGTGAGATATAATTAGGTAGGGAGGTTACTGAAGCGGAGATCTCACCTTTTTGTTCGATTTCATCTGTGAGTTTTTAGACGAGTAGTACTTGTCAAAGGCTGCCGATGCGTTGCTGCCAGTTGATGATTTGCTGAAAGTAGTCACGGATAAGTACTTTATATATATAGTAATATATAGAATATAAATCTGTACCTGGAGTTAGCACTACTATAAAATACTCTCAATCACCAGGTTACTCCCTCTCACTCACTCGCTCACAAGTTTCACAATCAGAGTGCTAATCAGTCGGAAGCCCTACTTAGATGAAATCTTGTAAGGTTACAATGATTGGGAGGTTGATAGAGCCTGGAGATCAGGAACAATGTTTACTCCCACACCTTCACTAACAACTTCCTCTCAGCATGCACCAAACTGCGTTACTCAGACATAATCAATGGTTTGATAGTCACCAAGTTACGACATCTAAAATTCTAGGATGTAGCATCTCATTATCTCATTATTATAAAGATCCCTCTTATTTAAATCTCTATGTCACAGCACATATACTACCTCTACTTATCGGTAGTACCTCCCTCCCTCCCTCCCTCCCTCCCTCCCTCCCTCCCTCCCTCCCTCCCTCCCTCCCTCCCTCCCTCCCTCCCTCCCTCCCTCCCTCCCTCCCTCCCTCCCTCCCTCCCTCCCTCCCTCCCTCCCTCCCTCCCTCCCTCCCTTCCTCCCTTCCTCTCTCCCTCTCTCCCTCTCTCTGGACTCTGGTTGACGGGGTTAACTGCTCACGTGTCGAATGAAACGTGCGCTTCACACCTTCCCTCAGATATTACAACCACCATTATGTAATATTTATACCTCTCTCTCTCTCTCTCTGAGTGACCACTACTTTCTCTGGTATCCTGATGCTTTCTGAGGGGCCTGATCAAAGACATCGCCTAAATTGCGCCCTAACTTATTGAATTAACGGTGCACAAACTCAGTCTCAGTCACAGGATGAATCCTTAATTTGTTAATTTATTCCGGGACCCGTATCAGAGAGGGAGAGATGTAAGTGCTACATTTGTAAGGCAGTTACTGGCCTGCACACTCCTTACATACAAAATCACTCAATCTACCAGCCTCTAATAAAGAACAGAACACTGACCCTACAGTGGGGAGGTGATGAGAATAATAATATGCAGAGAGGTTCACTCAATTAGTGACATGTTGAGTCACTCAATCAGTGTATAACTGACTCACTTAGTGACTTCCTGCAAGAAGGGTCAGCTGCTAAAACAGCTATAATCCCCAGACCTCAGAAGACTAATCTGTATAATACAGAGCTGGACCTCAAAGCTTAGGGCCGGGTTACTGAGTGTCGGCAGGGTAGCTGGGTAGGGGGGGGGGGGGGAGGCACTGGGCATGGTGGGGGGGGGGGGGGGGGTTATATGTTGAGTGCACCAGACGCCAGACACCTGATCCAGCAGGTACTAAAGACCAGGCTGTATGTAGATATGAGGTAGCGGGGAGACCTACCCGGAAAATAACAGCAAATACTGCAGACCAATTCCGGGTTGACTTTACCGCGATATCTTGACCGGGGACTGCTTATTAGTGGTCCGGGTTAAGGAATGTAAGCTATTCGTATCACATACCCGCTACTAGGCCGGCTTGTCCGGGAGGAGGGTTTGTGTGTTTGTCTGTCTGTGTGTTTGTGGCTGCATGCGAAACACACAGCGTTCATTCCGGAGAGCATACCAAAATGAAAACTAGATACTAAAGATAAAAGGAATGCTGGAGGAATGCGGTGGAGATATGAGATACGAAACAGTGGGTTATTATTAATATTGCAGGTGAGCGAGCACCTGCTAATAGTAGTGCCCACATGTGTCCACTGCCAACTCTTTTCAAAGCGACTGCCGATACCAGCCATTTGGCCTACTTGGCTGACTGTCTGATAGCTGTTTACCAGGTTACCGATCACATAGCAACCTCTTTTAATCTAAAACTGTAAAAGCCGACCAATCCATCAGGTCTTTACTCTTTAATCTACGCCACCTCAAAGCAATTGGAGATCTTTGTGCTTTTTTTGCTGAGCTGACATAAACAAAAAAACCCCTCCCCAAAGGGAGAAAGTCCGGGCGGCTATGGTGAGGCAGCCTGTTTTAAAGCAGAGTTAGCAGCGTGTCGGAGGGAGCTTTGTGATGTTTGTCTGTGTGAGTGTGTAGTCTTTGAGAGCGAGTTGTGTTTGATCTAGTTATGTTGCTAGTATCATTATAAAGAGTATGTGTACTGAGATCCATCCACACGTGAGAGAGAGATGGGCCGCCTGCTCTCTTACAGCATGAGACTATACAGAGAGTTGAGCAGCTTTATCAATAACTATTTACTACACGGAGATCAGGCCAGCTAGCTAGCTAATCACGTGACTGACTTTTGTTATCTCCAATAAACCACGTGACCAAGTGTTATCTCCAATAAACCACATGTTTCAGATCAGATCAAAGCTCCAGGTGCTCCTCAAAGAGGAGGATCTAGTGGGATGGATCCCGTCTCAAAGACCCAATTAGCAAAGAGTTTGACTAATTAGGTGGCCATATGATGGTTCCCGTGTAGTCTCACTCTGAGTGGTAGTAGTCTGGTAATGGGTGAGACAGAAAGAGCGGTGAGGGATCCAGACTAAGGGCCCTCTCTCTAAAAAGGGACACGCCGCACTCTCTACCTCACACGCCGCTACTCCAGTCACAGCCACCTTCTAACATAATGACATAATCTCCCCGTATAATTCTCTAATTATAATTATCTATTTATAATTAACCACTTAATGAAGATGAAAAAGTAATTGTGATTTTGACAAACCTGCTGCCGCTTTTGCTTGAGGCTATGCTCTGAATTTCGCTAACTATCGCTGACGACGCTTCCGAACTCAACCCGTCTCCAAAGAAATTTGATCTGAAAGTTTCAAATATATTACAAATATTTTCGAAACATTTGAACTGAAATGATCTGCTCTAACGAGCGGAAAACACGAATATAGATATAAATATAAATCAAAAACAATACAAAAGATTTGCATATAAATTCTAGCGGTATTGTATTTCACCAGAAAGCACATCGGCCATTGTATTTCACAAGAAAGCACACGGCCCAATTATCTGAGAGTTCGTTCTCACCTGGAGTATCTAGAAACGGAGCTTGAGCAGGAGGATGCGTCAGAGGATCCGACAGAACCGCCCGCGAAGGGTTTGTGGCGCGACGTGTGAAGTGACGCGGCTCCACCCAAACTGAGCGCTTTAAACAAGTTACAATCCATTTCCTCGTCCTCCCACATAGTCTGATAGTAGTGACTCTCAACAAATGATTTTACTACGTTCTGTTGAATAATCACCATCGATACGTACTGATAAGCTTCCTCAAACAGTGCTGAGTTCACTTTCCCGACGCTGTTCCGCATGCGCTCAATGTTCCGTCTGATAACGTCGCTGAGCGCGAGCGACTGCGCGCCACCCTCTCTGATAAAATTGTGGTAGATATAGTTCGCTAAGACCCTGATCCGATATGGTCCGTACTGAAGTTTGTCTCCCCACTCCCTAAACTCCTTGCAGAGACACAGAAACTGGAACTCCTTGACAAAGGAGCAGGATTCGGTCTCGCGCGCTCGCAGGAACTGTTGAAAAGAGTTGCGCTGCCCGGCGTGACAGATTATCTCGTCAATACTGTGCTGCGAGCTGGCGTACTGAGAAAGAGATATCGGTCTTACACTTGATCATAAGCGGGGAATTTTAAAATTCCGATCGTGTTTTAAACAAGGCGATCACTGACTCTCTTATTAAATCATACAGCTAATATTGCAAACCACTTGGACGTACTAGAGGCTAAACCCATTAACCTGCCATTACATCATCATGACAGATAACATAGTACACACTCACCTCTTCTTTCTCAGTTTCGTATAGTTCAATAGTCAGGGGTCTCATAATGGGCTCCACCATAGAGAGGAGCTTCTGGAGCGCTGATCTGGGGTGGTAAGACCGGTGTTTTCGCTCACTAGAACCCATTGAGGCGACATCGTGCATACGCTCACTCGCTGAGACGAGACGTTAAGGGTTAGTTTTAAAACGCTAATACTCTGTATGTGTTTTGTAAAGGGGATTCAATATTTTTATTTGAAAGGTGAACAAAACCGTAAATTTGAAGTTAGATAATCTACAAATTTGAGAAATAGACCGAACAAGTTTAAACTTAAATACTCAGCAAATTTTCAGGGACTTGTCAAAAGCTTTGTATAATAGAATTACAGGTGATAGACGGGGATGTAAGGTTTTACAGCCTGGCTACAGTACAACAAATAAGCAACAGACAATGCTAGACCAAAACAGAGTTTAAAGTACCGGGTAAAACCCTGAAGAAACATTACAAATAACAGTTAAAAGCAGTGCCTCAAATAAAAAAAAACCGGGAGTTTGAGGTCTAATTAATGTACCTCGCAAATGAGGTTAAACTGAAATGAGGTTAAACTGTACCTCCAATGAGAACCCCTACAGTAGTTTCACATGTGGTGTTCATGGTGTCTAACAAGTTCTGTCAGTTCTGTTTCCGCGTCCCGCTGCCATTCCTATGTAAGGGTACTACGGTTACTAAGGTTACTAAGGTTACTTGAGGCTAAAAAACTGTGAAAAGTGAAACCGAAACTATATAATATAATAATAGAATACTTAATAAGAAAAACTCAGTCAATATTTGAGGCGATAATGAGAATAATATTTTAAAGTAAAACCGAAACTAAATAGACGAAAAGAATACGCAGCACGGAAAACATTCGGTCAATATATGTTTTCGATAATGTGTCAAAAAAGGGTGCAGCCGAAACATAGCATCTGAAAAGAATACAACAGTAAAATAAATGCATAACAAAACGACAGCACCAGCAACACAAACAGACAATCAAAACTTGCACTGTATGTAACGAAAATCAGCGACAACGGGGAAATATAGGCAGTTGAATGGGTTGGTCGGAGTAAAGTGGGACAGTGCCCGGGCAGCATTACCAAGGACACTGTCGGGCCTAACCAACCATGGAACTTCTAAACTATTCCAAAAATGTTAAAAACGGTAATAGCAGAGGGACTGAAAGGGACGAATGTAACGTTTCATAAGCGTGACAAAAGCTAGGCTTGCTAGGTAGTTGGGTAGACTGGGAATCCAGCTAGAGAGAGAGAGAGAGAGAGAGAGAGAGAGAGATATTACTTACCAAACCACACTCTAAATAAAATGTAATCAAGACCCGGCACTGTACCGCGCACCTCCACCAATAGCAGCACAGTATCGGAGCTATCACCCAATCAGAGGGCAGTATCACTGCCACGTGACGATACACATGAGAGATGATAAGTATCGAGGAGGGAAAACGTGACTGGGTAGGAGAAGAGGAGGAGAGATAGGATCCGTACACAGGGAGGAGGAGGAGGAGGGGGCCGTGTAGGTAGCGTATCAGACACCCTGGTATGTGGGTGCAATGTCAGGTATGTAGTGTAGATACCACCCGAGTGCCACCTTTAGCCACCTTTAGCCACCTCCTCCCACTCTGGTGCCCCCTCCCTGATCAGCACGTGATTTAGAGGCCGCTTTTACCCGGAAGTAGTGGATCTAACCTGATAGACTGTGTTAAAATAGCCCGGCAGGAGCACTTGTCAGATACCTTCACACAGCTATATTCACTCATCATCCCTGCTCACTCTCAACACGTCGCTCCAGCTCCATTACTCCTTGATACGCTGGTAAGCAGCTCACTAGACTCACTTTTAAACCTCCTGCTAAACAACATTTCCAGCTAAAAAGAAGTAGCTCTCTGTTTCTGCACTGTTCCGCACTGAAGTGTGCCTGAGTCAAAGGAAGCGCATTACCGTGCATGGTCGCTCAAGTTTCACTACAATTATACACGAATATCAGTCTACTGTTACGGTGAAAAAGTAGCGCAAACCAGTAACAAGTAACCAACAAGTGACCAGTAAGCAGGGTACCTGTACAACCACGACACTACGACAGTAAGTTACAGGGAGATCACTACATAAACAGGTGCATATCCACTGTAGTAGTTAGCTCATCTGATCAGGAGATTTACATAAGTTATTGAATCAGACAGAGTTCTGGAGAAAGAAGGAGGAGGAGGAGGAGAGAAGGTATCCATTTAGCAGGTAAACACAGCAACAGCTGGCTACCTCCTCTACTACGACCAGTCTCCACTATAATAATGACAATAAACGAGCATATGAGGGACCACATGCAAAACTGGTATATCTGAACATATACCAATTTTGCGCAGGTAGCTCATAGTCTTCAGGGTGAAAAGGTGCATCTTTGGAACTTTTTTTGAACAATTTTGAAGAAATTTTTGAAAAAAAGTGAAATTTTATTTTTCCAAAACTGGTATATGTTACAATATACCATTTTAGCTTTTAACAATCATGAAAACAAAATGGTATATCTGCAGATAGACCACCTTCAAGAAACTTATCTTCTATAAAACCGGTATATCTATACACATTTTATAGACTTTAGCCAGCCCAAATGGTATATCTTCAGATATACCATTCTCAGTTAAATTATTTTATTGTTTATAGTATAGAAAAAATGGTATATCGTGAGATATACCAGTTTTGGTACAATTCTAGTTTTAAAAATGGTATATAGACAGATATACCATTTTTTAGAAGTGTTTTTTACACATGATATAGAATCTTTAAATCAGTAAAATGCATTTATCTCAAAACTATCAAAAACAGATATACCAGTTTTGCATGTGGTCCCTCATATATTGTCTGAAAGTGAAACAAAGATGGAGAAGTCGCGTTAATTCAAGTTAACCCTGCCTTAATGAAACACAATTGCAAAGTAATTGCCCAGCCAGTATGCGAGGAGTGTAAGATAGCGTGACGAGGAGAAAGAGAGAGGAGGGTAGTTCTCTCTTATACTGAGAGACGGGCTCTACAAAGGTGAGCAGTGAAGCATGGCAGCGTACACAGGAGAGTGTCAGGTGATCTACACTGTCACGTGACCTACACAGCTGGGACACGTGGGCTACACTCGTGAAATAAGAGTAGAACGATGAGTTGTGCACGTGTCACGTGATGTGCACGTGTCGTGTGATTTGCACGTGCGCGGGTATCTAGACGTGACGTTTCCTGGAGAGAGCTGTACATCTCCGTGAGAGGGAGATACAATTAACAGGATAATATCACCTCCAGTATCAAAGAGAAGGAGGAGGGGTGAGATGTAGAGAAAACAGGAAATCAGCTGTCTCAATCTAATTGTTACCTCCTCCAGAACATACACAGAGTGAAACTATTAGAGCGGGATAGAGCATTATACGTGTAGTCACAGTGCGGATATAATACAGGTAGCTCACAGTACGAAACACAGAACCCATACACAAATCTCGCGAAAAACCCTTTCCTCTCCGCATCCTTCTCTGTATACAAACTCATCAGAGCTTATGTACATTTTAAAATCAAAACGAGAAGAAGCGTAAAGCAGCAGCGCAGGGCAATAATAATAATACCATAACGCGGAGACGGGGAACTACAATTCGAAACAAGAAATATGCCCAATATATAGGTTGAGATTGGATTACAGAGAGGGGGACATTAGGCGGGCTCATGGTCACTGTATCTGTTTGGAGCTGACTGTAGGTGGCACTAGTCCCCCACTGGTCCCCCACCTGCCCCCCAATTAACTGTGACCTCCTCAACTAGCTCTCTAAATACCAGCTCCCACCCACCACATGACAACAACACTGTCCAGACAAATTTGGTCGGAGTTGATTTGTGCGACCGGTCTGACTTACAGAGCGGTCCGGGGTGGTTTTTAAGGGGTTTGTATAATATAGGGTATGCTAGGGTGAGTATATAACAGTATTTCATGGCGGACGGTTAAGCACGTCACAAGTTCTCTGGGGAATCTAGTCTGAGTAGGCCTGTCAGAGAATTGTCAGCAAAACAGAGGAGGAGGAGGTGGGCGGAGAGAGGGGATTATTTGTAGATGGGCTGTTTACGGGGTACGTTCAGGAATTTCAGAGTAAAATTTACAGTAAAATTTAACTAATTCAAGTTGGACTCCTAGTTATGTGTAGGGGCATACTACGGGAGATTAAATTTAGAGGTCGGGAAGAAGTGTAGAGGTGTGTCTCGTAGTGTCCTGTGTGTAGAGGTGTCTGGAGTGAGATACGAGGATATTGTGCGGTGTGTAAAGTGCGATCTTGTGCGGTGCAAGTCAGCGAAATGTGAAGTGAAACCAAACCTCGGGAGACTGATCAATACAATTCAGAGATAAGGGAGGTAACCCTTTTAACAATGAATCTAATTACTCGTTCGTGGTCAAGGAGAGACTTCAAAGATATAAAAGAAGAGAAAGAAACACCAACATTAATCACTTATGAAGATGGAGTCCCCTCCTCGAAGTTGCTAAACCACACCATCATGTGAAAATTAAAAACAAGTACAATTAAAATTACTAGTGCAATTAAAATACTGACTTATAACCACTTAAAAATATCCATCCACAGACTGCGGGATGATCACAATACAGCTCAAATTCGCAACAAAACACATGTAACCGCGACAAAAACAGAGACTACATTTCTCAAACTCTCTGTCTCTCTGTGACACCCAGCACACACAAAAGATCGGCAAATCACAATGTCTACAAAGCAGAGCAGAGACCAGGACCGACATTAACTGAACCCGGGTAAATCAGCGGGACTTTAGTCCTAGGGCGGTCAAATGAAGGAAAAATTGAGGAAGGCGAGGAGGAAGAGAAGAAGGCCGCGGACGACTAAAGAGAATGGTTGGCTCATCACTACTCTTTTTAACCACGTAGAGGCTAATAACCTAGTGGAGTTGGAGGAGCTTTTAACTCGAGGCAGGTTTACTTTAAAGCTTAATCAAAAGCGGACCGCGCGAATAGTAAGACTAAAGATGTGCAGAATGAAGATCAGCACTAAGTAGTAGTCACCAGTGATCGGGCAACCTTAATTAAACTGAAAATGGAGGGGAAGTTGCTTGCGGAGTGAGGGGAAGTTGTAACCCGGGGGAACCTCGCCAAGGCAACAAAGTAACAACAAGTAACCACAAAGTAACAACTACAATTAACTGTGTACAATAAAAGTAAAGGCAAGTTACCAGGAAAGATATTTTTTGTACTGTAAAATTCCTGACATTCTGAGTTGATAAAGAGTCTTTAAGAGATCAAAGCATTCCAATTAACGTAGCGAGAGAGGTGTAAGCAGTTAAAGCAACAAAGGATCGGTGAGTGGCGGGAGGAAAAGACACGGGCCCGGCTCGGACAGTGGTCTTACAACTACAGGCCACAGGGTATACTGCTTGCAGAGGTTTACAGCAGCACAGCTAGATACCAGCCCGGCTACTGCACGGCTAAACGGCACTAAAACGAGAAACCCGCAAAGCGGCGGGAGAGACGCTACGACTATTGCTGGGAGGTCAAAGGGGCTCCTCTCTGCAGGGACCCCGGCCAAAGGTTCAAATTTCCAATTAATTAGGGTCCGAGTGTTTGTGTCTGTTTAACTAGATTTGCTGTGCAACCTTTGAAAATATCCGGCTCTC